TGGCAGATAATGTGCTGTCTGCTCCTAATAACAAATGATGTAGCTTTTTAAGATCGGTGCCCTGTCATTAAGGGCAAATAATTCAAAATTAGAGCTGAGGTCCTTGGTTAAATGATGTGGAACAGTATTGTAATTTAACATAACCTTTCATTCTGTTGAGATAATTAAAAGATGGCTAAACAAACATCTGTGTACTCAGCTTCAGCTGCAGTTTCACCAGGACTTGAACCTCTTTAGTCATGAGGACAACTCAACCAAGAACAAGCGCGGCGTTCTTCCAAAGCATGCCACAAATGTCATGCGCTCATGGCTCTTCCAGCACATCGGGGTGAGTCTTTGTGCATAAATCATCTGCCTGTATAGAACTCAAGTCCTTACAAAATAGTGATGCATTTCAACCCTGTTCTATTGTGCAGCATCCGTATCCCACAGAGGATGAAAAGAAGCAGATTGCTACTCAAACAAACCTGACACTTCTGCAGGTCAACAACTGGTGAGTTGCTCTTTATCCCAAGAAAATACTACATCACTATTTACAGTCATGTTTGTGATGGCAGGCAATTTTCTACTAATTGTTGTAGTATAATTGGTCAGCCAGGTAATTGTGCAGGGCTTCCTGCGATCAGCTGAGGGTTTCTTCTTTGCTCATCTCGTTTCACTTTTCACTGATGAAACTCTGACTTGTTCCCATAGTTTGCCATTTGACCTCTCTGCTTTTTTGCCTAATGAAAACAAAACAAAAAAGACGATATTTAACTTTGCCCTAAGTTAATAACTGCAACTTCTTTAAGTACAGGTGGGAAGTGTCACCTTTTTAGCTAAGTGTAAGGAGGTTACAGTGTATTTAATATGTACAGGACATCAGACAGTTCCTATTCTTTGTGTCCTTTGAGTCAGGGTGTGTAAAATCCAGCTAACCATACAGCTGTCCATACCTGACAGTGAGCCTAATCAGCACCTGTTAGCATTTGAAGTGCAAAGGTCTGTACAGCCAGCATCACCCTGTGTCTGCAGGTTTATAAATGCACGGAGACGGATCCTGCAGCCCATGTTGGATGCCAGCTCTTCAGAGACACCCAAAGCCAAGAAGAAGACACCTCAAAACCGGCCACTGCAGCGCTTCTGGCCTGATTCCATCGCAGCAGGAGGAGGGGCCATGCCTGATGGTAGGCAGCACAACACCGTATCGAGATGCTTTTGTTGTTGTACTTGGCCCATATATTAGAGTTAATGCAGAGAAACAAACACTAGTTTATGTAGTGATACCAGCAGACTTCCTGTCCGCTGCTGCTTAACAAACTGTTGTTCTAGTTTGGCAACAAATGTCATCACTGTATCACAAATGTTGCTGCTTTTAACAAATTGCTGACAATGTGACTAGGAATGCAACATTTCATAACTTGATTGTTTAAAAATCCTTGACACAAATTGTTTGATTCAATGCGTTAATGTTCAGCTCTGTAGCACTCAGGTGTCACTATTAAGTAGCAGTTGGTACTGTTACAGAGACGGTGCACTCAGGTAGAGAAAAAAAGATTTTTCTGCATCCAAAACAACAGTGCTGTTGCTATGACAGGAAGTTTTACTAGGAAAAAGCTGGCAGGAGTTCTTGAGCAAACCACCTGATCAACAAGCTCCAGCATGAAGAACAGCGAACTTTGTAAGCTGCTCTGTCCACCCCAGTTTGATTTACACGGCAAAAAAATCTGGACTACAGACGTTAAACAGATGAACTAAAGACGTGAACTTATCAATCACCTTTATTTATAAAGCACTTTAAAACAACCACAGCTGACACACAGTGCTGTACATTGGAACCAAAAAATAACATTTCATAAGATATGAATAAAAGCCAAATAAAAGAAAGAAAAATAAATTAAATAACTAATTTAATTTCAACAGAAAACTTAGTCTCACTGAGGTTAAAAGCCAAAGAATAAAAGTGGCTTTTAAGACACGATTTAAAAGTGGACAGTGAAGGGGCCTCTCTAACGTGCAAGGGCAAAGTATTCCATAATTTTGGCGCCATGATAGAGAAGGCCCCGCCCCCTCTGAGCTTCCTCCTGGATCTCGGTACCTCCAGGAGCAGCTGGTCAGCTGACCTGAGA